TCGTCGATTGAAATGGCCAATACATGTTTGTCCCATTCACACTTGTATTAAAAATTTGTCTCGCCTTGAGTGACACCTTGACAGCCATTGGGCGTGGAGCGAGTGGTAACATGTCATCATGATCCTCATTACTCGGAGTATAATCCCTATGGGGCTACTGATGGGACCTTTATTCCAGCCTGAATGTAATAACACTTTTGGATGCGGGGTTGAGTGAAGTTCAATGGCGTATTGAGGTTTTCTGCTTATATCATTGTGGGACCACTCCGCCATCTGTCTTTACCTTGCCTTAAGCACCATAGGGTGACTCAAAGTCGTATTCAAGAATAATGGAAGATGTGAATATACCTTACCCGTGAAGGAACCACCAATCGGAGAACTCCGAAGTTCGTCCCAGCGATATTGCGTCCTCCGAGGCCAACTCGTCTGCCTCGCAAGTTCGCCTAGGCAGATATCGACTCGAATCCGGATCCGATAGAGTAGTGGCCTCAAGAGCCGTTGCCCCACAGTCGGACGACGCCGAAGTTGCCATGGTTTCTTTCAAGCTGTATTCGTCCACCACTCGTTTCAGCCAGGACTGTCGGGTGTGCTGAGGCCGTTGGCTGCCTTGAAGGCCGAGCCGTGAGGAGCCGGTTGAAGCCTCCTCAGTTGATGAGCCAATGATTGACGGCAAAGATGTCCCGGTTGGGAATGAGGGTGGTTGTGGGTTTGGTTGAAATGTGGAGCTGTACGTGCAGGTGAGAGAACCGGAAGACGAGGCCGTTGGGGAGGTTGGCGAGGCTGAGCAATTGTAGAGTGTGGACAAGGAACTGGATAAACGCGAAGGCGAAGCAGATGGTACAGAGCGGGAGACAGACGTGGACAGAAGAGCGAGTGAACCTGACGAATCGTTGGGGGATGTAAAACTCACTCGTGCACGACAGCCCTTGGGCCGAGGGATCGTGGTTACGACAGAGCTCGGAATCCTCGACTCATCGGTCGACTGACTGGACAAGCATTGTCCGTTTGCGGCAGTCTTGAGGGTAGATACAGTCATGCTGGCAGCCACAGCTCGATGGCGTGCTTCATCAATGAACTTACGGTTTCGCCGCATAGACGAGCCGTTCTGAAACATGTCTATTGCGTGTGGATGAAGAGTCCAGTAGGCGCCCTTTCCAGCCTCGCCGGAGGGGCGAGGTACTTTCACAAAGCAGTCGTTGAAGGAGAGGGCATGTCGAATAGAGTTCTGCCACCTAAAAGTTTGATGAAAAGATGGTTGAAAGCTTCGGTGATAAAAAGCATCACCAAATGTCATATATGAGGGATCACTTCAAGAGATTTTCTCAATATAATCCTCCAAATTATTCTGCGTCTTCTATCATTCTATAGTAAATCTCAAACAAGCCTATCTTGACGCCCTCTTCATAGACTCGCAAACCTACCCTACACGAATAGTGAAGGGCATTTGTGAGCGAGCTTGAACTAGTGAATTGCTTCCTAGGCTGGAGGCCAAAATGGATGGGTCGTCACAAAGGAAGGCTGATTAGAAGGGAACGGAATAGTTAAAAAACGTTCTGCTGATCTCCCCAAATCGAGCCCTTACTATTCCATATGTATAGCCTAGCTTGACTGAATTTAAGACCTGAAATATCATATATTAAGGTAGAATAAGGATCCAAGTCACCCTAGGTCGCATAAGGTGATGAAAGACTGGTAATACAAATTTCCCAAAACGGTATGAGTGGGTTACACATTTCTATTGAATCTTCCGTAGCTCTGCTTTCTAAGAGGTATTCCCATCCATTATGGACTACAGATTCGAACTCGCCTAAATCTCATGATCATATAATTGGGAAGGGGGGGAATGCAAATATCAGTCTCTAATCACCCTGTGAGATCTAGGAGAAATGGAACCCTTGTTAAAGCATGTATGCATTGTTTAAATATTAATATTAGGTATAAAGAGTAATTAGGGACCTATGAGTCTCCTGAGATGGAATCTTTAACCTAGTGTGAACATGTGATTTTTACAAAAATGAATTCCAGCTCAGAGGATGTCTATCATATGATGAAATAAAGCTCACCCCGTTTTCACCCGAAACGAGGGAGTATGTCTGGTGGACTGCGTGAACCTGAACGTCATATTAAAGTATTCCGGTGAAATAGACCTTCGAAGTAATTTTTAATGCACATTCATGCGAAATGAAATTCTCCCCAACATTAACTATTAGGATTGATCTACGGATAAGAGTTTACCACCTATCATTTGGTGGCTGAGGCAATGTTGGTATGTCTACATATGAATAGACGAGAATGCCTGGTTCTTGTCAACCAATTTAACTATATGAGATGTATTCACCCTATTCTATTTAACGTGATAAACAACAGGTAGTAGAATTTTCCCACAATGATGAATAGAGCTGACGTTTCCATAGAATTTAACATAGCCTTGCTTTCCCAAAGTTTGTTCTCATTCAAGGCGGACCACAATTTCGGCCTCGCATAGGTTTTATTAACACTCCCAGTGGGAGTCGAACAATAACAATGCAGCATATGAACTTGACACGTTAACCCCTCGGCCACATTGCCATGAGTGTCCTTGGGTCACAGGCCAGTCGATTGTTATAACAAAAATACGTTTACTTCATCGGCAATCCCACCAAAGAATGTGATATGCGAAAAGGCCTGGGCTTCCTTGAAATTCACATCTGCCCTGTGACCCAAGGACACTCGTGGCAATGCGGCCGAGTGGTTAACGTGTCAAGCTCATATGCTGCATTGTCACGGTTCGACTCTCGCTGGGAGTGTTGATAAGACCTATGCAAGGTCGAAACTGCAGTTCACCCTGGGTGAGAAAAACTTTTGGGAAAGCAAGGATATTTGAAATTCAATGGAAACGTCAACTCTACTCATATCATTGTGGGAAAATTCTACTACCTGTCCTTCATCACCTTAAATGAAATAGGGGGAATAAATCTCATCTTACTGATTTACTGGTAGTCTCGAAACTCTTCTACATATGAAAAACAATTTATCTATGCCGTATCTTTAAAAATATGCTCTCATTGATGATGTACTTCGCACAGGCCGCACCCTCGATAGGACTCAAACCTACGGTAGTCTAGTCCTCCTCCTCTATACCAACTGACTCTAAGACGGATGAGGCGCAAAGAGATGTGACAATCGGAGGTGCTTTGCCCTGCATGTGACTCAATGCATTCGATTTAACTTGGTCAACAGCTGACCCAGTGTTCGAATCCCTCTATGGGTTTCTACGAAATTTCTAGCGCTCTTGGTCACTGTGATATGGTCGATCTTGATTGTTGAGCTTACTTTCATTTCTTGCTGTGACTAGTGCTCTTAATCACTCTTGTATGGTAGACCTTAATTGTTCAACTTAGTTCCCTTTCTTGGAGTGACTAGAGCTCTTATTCATTGTATTATGGTAGATGTTAATTGTTGAACTTGCATCCATTTATTAGAGTGACTAGCGCTCTTAGTCACTGTGCTATGGTAGATCTTAATTGTAAAACTTACTTCCATTTCTTGGAGTTATAGAGCTCTTAGTCACTGTGGAATGGTAGATCTTAATTGTTGAACTTACTTCTATTTCTGGCAGAGACTAGTGCTCTTAGACAATGTGTTATGGTAGATCTTATTTGTTCAACTTACTTCCATTCCTTGGAGTTAGTAGAGCTCTTAGTCACTGTGGTATGTTAGATGTGAAAAGGTGCCCAACTTTCGCCCGTCATAAGACGAACATCATCAGAGCAAGGTATAATCGCTACAACCAAATTTAAGCTAACAAGTCAAGAAAACTCACCGGCAATTCCTTAAAAAGAGCTATGTTCACACGATATCTGACCGCTTTGATGAGGTATAAAGTAATTCGGTTAGTCACGGTCATATGCCAACCTAGAAGCCTGAGTGTGTCTGTCGCTGCATGTGTGTTCGCTTATGCACGAAACCAACAGTAATGGTTCAATGTAATTATGATACCAAAAGTAACGTCAGTTCTTGGCCATCAAGTTTAATTACCACTATCGCCCATTTTCTACATATATATTTTAAGCATCATTTAGATTGCGCAAGGTCGGACACACGTATAGTTTTGTTTATGGGGCTACTTTTTGTTTTGGGTCTCAATGTGAGAGAGAAAGAGTGAGTTAAAAGTACAAAGAAGTGACTATGATTAGAACCAAAACAAGAAAAGACGAGTTGCGTGACCTCCTTTTTGCAGGCGGCTCAACTCGCTCTCTAGACTTCAGTCTATTAATCAAGCACAAATAATTTTTAATCGAAGGTATGAAGATCAAGATGGTGTAAA